TTGTATGATCCCAATTTATGTACCTTTCTCCATATTCTAATTTAATTTAAAAGAAAAAAAAGAAAAAAAAGTTGCAAAAGTGAATTGTGACAGGCACTTAATGATTTTGCGCATTACGCTTTGCACTTTGCGCTTAGATCGTTAAAATAGAGTCCATAGAGTATGTAGGAAATGAAAACTGAGTGATTCTAAATGTGCAGGAAGTTTTTTGTTTTTGTTTTTTGTTTTGGAGCAGCTGTTGTGTGTGCTTCACATAATTCTACATATGCAACACGTTTGTCTCTCAGTGCGCTCTACATATTAAACCCGAGAGAGCGACCGCAATCGCATCTGTCACAGGCTGCGTGTTCCCTCCTCTTTTTCTCTATGCGTGCATGCCTTTGCTGAACTCTTCTTTCTTGAGCCTGATTCCTAGGGCTTTGACATTCATGAAGCTTTATAGGAAACACAGAGACGTTCCCCCCAGCAGTGGACACGTGCATACTTGCATGCGTCACTACTGATACGCATAACAAAAGAACTAAACAGAACTAAATCTTGCACACTGCTGAAGCTTACCTCATCAATCATACAGCAGCATCACACATTAATTGATCGGTTGAAGATAAATGACCTGTGAGTTTTAGGTTTGGGGAGTTTAATGCACCGGTATTGTGCGTTGTAAACCATAATTAGATTGAATTAGTCAATATCACGAGGGGCTAGTTATCATACAGGTGCTGTCTGTCTTGTGCTCTACATCCCTCTTCATCCTCCTTAACTATTCTTTTCCTATTATTTGCATTCCTTTAGATGGCATATGGTGATCGTTGAAAGAAAAAAAACAGTCATTACAAATGACAGCTGTTATAAATATGTCTTTAATTGTAAAAAAAATTAAATATTTGAAAACTTTTATGTAGTTTAATTTAGTTTTTATTATATTATATTATATTATATTATATTATATTATATTATATCATGCACTGCTGCTAATATGAGACTGCATTTTTGTGATAGTGGTGCAGTTGGTTTCCTATCATCATTAAGATCTTTGATGGGTTTATTTAGAGATGTAGTTAATCATAGCTAGCCCATATGGAAGTACCTGTGGATTAATTTCTATGTTGAACCAACAACTGCATCTTTGCATTTGATTTTTAACCACTGATGTGCAAGAAGCACACACTAAAACTTAAGAAAGAGATATGAAATATAAAGCATGTCTATCAGTATATTGGACCCCATGTAGTAGCTCTCAAAGTGAGACAGAAATTCATTCACTTTAATAATCAGTCAAATTAATTATGAAGTGTAATTTTCCAACAACTGAAGTGTAGCCAGTGAAAAAAAACTTGTGGAAAAAACTACTAGCCACATTGTCTGGTGAGCAAATAAGGTAATGTCAAGCCCTTCTTCCTACACACTGCTGGGTGCCTTCATTAAAAAAAGTCTTTCCCCTCTCTTTCTTTGCTGTCTATAGCAAATCAGCCTTTTCCTGATTGTCTTTTCCTCTATATTTGTTTCCCTCTTTTCCTGTTCATCCTCTTTTTCGGGAATCACTCATCCAAATCCTGCTTTTTAGTTCAGGAGGGCCCACAGCCTACTCTTACATTTTTCATCATTTTACCATTCCTCCTTTTTTCATCTGCTCAAAGAGAATGGGTCATTTCAGCTCTAATGAAATGACAAGGAAGCATGCCAGGGTCTTGTGTTGGGGACAAAATGGCCTTGCCTGTGGCTTGGTGAGTAACAGAGAAATAACTTTCAGGAGAATTTAAGCCTGTGCCTTCTAAAAAGTGTGTATGTGTATTGCTGCAGCCATATTTTGACACATGCTATCCTGTCAGGAGAAATCCACATTCCTTGCGTGGCTTAGACATGAGATCAGAGACTGGCTGATGTCATGAAAACCTTTCCTCCTTTCAGGGTTTTTCTTTGAGAGGAAATAATAAAACATTATTTCTTTCAAGTTTAAAACGCTCCTCTTGACCCACTTAGACTGCTGAGAGATTCATTTATGGGAGTGTACAAAAGCCCAATCCAACACTAGATCTGTCTAACTCCCACTGCTCTGTTTTAGCACATCTAACACTCTCTCTCTCTCCATTTCTCTGTGTTTCTCTCTCGCTCTTTGTGCATGGTTGAATAGTGGGGCCTTTAGAGGTGCCTCCCTCAGGCAAACTAATTCTCCTCTCACCAACCAGAGCCCCACCACACACACACACAATTCACACTTCAAAGAGCCATGAACGCTAACCAACCAAACGATGATGTCATCCCCTGCCCACAGTATTATGGGCATCATCAGATTGAGTGAGGAACTATATTGGGCTGTAGATCAAAGTGTCCGCTTTTTTCAGTAAAGGGTAAGCACAGGGCTTTTTTCCATTTTGTTTTTCCACCAAGGGGGGCAGTTTTGTGAGCTGATCTGACCCCAGGTCTTCAGCTGAACCCATGGTGGATTTTATCACTGCAAACTGTTGCTGCTGTTTTACTGCAGGAACAGAGCGCTTTATATCTGTTTGTGTTTCCCGTGCCTGTTTCACACATCAGGAGTTTAGCAGCACAGGGTAGTAATGGGAAATTAACAGGTCTTCTGGAGGATTTCTGGAGTCAATGACTGTAATGTAAGCCAAACTATTATCAATGTACACTGGTTTAATTAAGCTTTTTTGTGTGTGTGGTTTGTTACAGAGCATAATATAGTTTGTGACTCATTTAATAACATTCATAAAATTAATTTAAATTATTCTATCTTTATTTTGACACAATAGTTTCTGCATATATAATATATAATATTTCTGCATAGTATTTTATGTTAACAATGCTGTGGCATAACAACATTTTAAAGTGGTTTTAAATAAAGTTAGCATGAAATGGAAATTCACCATGCTTATTTTCTAAATGCACAATTATGATCTTATCATGATCAATTCATCCATAATTTCCCCCCAATTTGTAATCAAAATAATGTTCTGGTAGAACAACAGACTTCTATCTGGAGAACAATGCTGGACTTCTCCAGTCATTTAAGGTGCGTCCCAGATTGCATACTTATGCACTATTCTACGCCATTTTGTAGTATAAATAGTGTAAGTAGTGCGTTTATACTAAAAAACTCTTAAAATAATAAGTGCTCTTCAATTACCTGAATGATGCACTTATTCAGCCGATAAAATCAAGTGTGGAATGATGGACTGGGCAGAGCTCTCAGGCGCACATGTTAGATTACTTTATTTACTTCGGATTGTGAAAACAGTATTCTCCTACGAGAGTGATTATACCGCCTCCCGATGGTGAATGCATTTATACTCATGGCAAGAATAATTTGGTAGTTTGGTCATTTATTTAAACGTCATCTTGGAAACAGTTTGAATTACCGCTTAGTAAAGCAACACATTAGCGTTCCATTTGGGATGATACAACATACATATACTTTGCTGTTGAGTGTGTAAGTGAATAAGTTCATAGTGTATAGAGTGCCATTTGGACACAGCTTTAGTCTTTTAGGTTTATTTAGTTAAACATGCAAGCTTGCATTCAGATCTGCCTCCATCTGATTAACAATTAGTAAACTGAGCCACAGTAGTATATAAAAATATTAATTCAAAACAGTTGCAATTTTACTTCTACTATGTTGCAATTTTAATATTTTTCTGTAGCACTTTTAAAGAACCTAAACCATGCAAAATATGTGCACATGTTTGCATCTCTATTAACAGGGGTCTTCAAATTCATTGTCACCATTTGGTTCTCACTCATCAATTATGCCACATTTGCTTCTTTATGTGTCTTCTGTGTTTGTGCCTCTTTCCTCTATCAGTTCAGTGACTTCTTAGCCGTTTGTATTCTTAGCGTGGGCGACTAACCTCTAACCCCTGCTCTTGTGAGAGACTTCAGTATCTGGGTGCTGAAGGCGCAAAATGCTGGCATGTGGCCTTTGTGTCACCCTAACCTGAGAGAGAGAGACTTGAGGAGCCAGCAGTGTCACCATGTCATATCGCAGCAAGGACATGGAGATGTTGTGTGTGCGCAGAAAGAGAGAGAAGAGGGGGAGTTTTGCTCCTTTCTCAGGAATGTCTAAACACAAGCCTGTGTTTGCAGCCAGTACTGAAGAGAGTGTGCATGTGTGTGTGTGTTTGAGGTAGAAGGGGATTGTGTTTGAACAGTATTAATCCCTTCAGAAGTTTAACCCCTCATTTTCCAGCACCTAAAGCTCTTGTATCCTCAGGAGTGCTCGCTATAGAAACCTGCCCACCAGGATGCTGATGAAAAAGTGCTAAAAATGAAAGTGCTGCTCAGTTGATGTACTAACAGCATCTTGGAGTTTGAGAAGAGGCCTTCAGATTTTCTTTTAAATTGAATGACAGCTAGTAAAGCCATTGGCATTTGTCTTTGTGGGACAGTGCAGTCACACATAGTTGAAACTATAGGCCCTCCTGTGGCTGAGCTGCATGTTAAAGACTGATTACCCAGACCTCCCAGATCCTTGGCTAAAAACCTATTTATTTCATATGAATGAGGTGCTGGAAGGATTCTCACTCTATCCTTCCCTCATTCACGCTGCTTTTGTAGTTGTTTTCCATAAAAAAGTCTCTTTTATACTCTTGTCATTTATGAGTATGTGAATTAAAATAAAACATATTATTGTGAAGTATTTCATTCATCCTCCATGTCCTGTTTCTTCTTTTAAATGCAGCAGTTTTTATTCAGAATATATGAATGAAAATATGTTTTTGGGGTTACATACATTAACATTTACATTTATTTTTACACGTTTCTTTGGAAAGTATTACTTTTTTAAAACAGACTGGACAAAAATATACTTTAAATCAAAAGTCTCATTATTTTATTTATTTTTATTTTATTTTGCAAAAGAGTGACTAAAACTATGTAAAGTTGCTAAAAAAGAGCAAAAATGAAAGCAAAATATAAACAATGCTACAATAGTATAAAACATTGAAATTTAGATTTAATGTTACTTTTTCCTCATAACTTTTTGTTCCTCTGTTTTCCAGGCATATGAATGGGCTCTAGAGGGCATGCGTCATTTGGCGTGTGTCAGTATGGAGGATTGTGGCATGTCTGAAAAGTGTCAGAGCGTGATCACGTGTTTGGAGACTTACCGCAGTCAGCACCCCCCGATCCCTGATGCACACTTCCAGGAGATGAAGGACCTCGCTGGGGAACTGAAAAGCGAACAGGGCCTCAAGCAGTGGAAGTTTGCCTGGTCCAAGTGTCAGGAGACCAAGCAGATGTTTGAAAAGAAGCTGGAGATGGCCCTGCGTTCCCGCCGTGACAGCGACTCCAAGTCAGTAAGGAGTGACTCTTCTCGTCGTAACTCAGATGTTAGCACTAAACACCAAGAGCGTAGCAGTAGCATCTCCTTCTCATGTCGGAAAGCGTTCGGCGGAGCCTGGGGTCGAGATAGACTTTCCTCACATTCTAGCACATCCTCAACTCCCAGTAGCCCTTCAGGCATTCGTCTGGATGCCCGTGACACTGTCCGAACTCCAACAGGAAGTCCATACAGCATTGAGCACAGAATCCCCCACAGCACCCCTGTCAGATCCCACAGGCTAACACGTAGCATCTCCACAGATGAGTCTCCTCAGAGCCCACATGCAGAGGGGCTAGCGTCCACAAGCCCAAGCGGCACTTCTGTTCAAACAAACCGCAGGGTTTTGCGGAAGACCCAGAGCTTCGATACAGCTGGCAGTGAGCCTGTGTCACAGTACGGGACCTGTCAGAGGACTTTGAGTGAGCCTGCACGCAGAGGAAACACAGGGGTGTTCATTAAGGGTCTGGAGGTGAGCAGCACTGAAGTGATTGATAGGCCGTACAGTCCACGACTACCACCCATCCATGGATGGTCTTCAATTGATGCACACCGCAGCGGGAGTCCTGCTCCAGAAACGCGCAGCAAGGGCAGGTGGGTACACTCAGTGCACACATACAAGTACTAACCCACACTCACTAGCTGTAAACTAAACACAATCAACCAGGGAGGTCCGCTTGCCATCGTCTCGGACCTTTACTATATATCTACCACTGTGTGAAGCTGTCACAAAGCACACACACGCTCGCACATGGGTAGGAATGCATTACCAGTCTGTTGATGCAGAATGTGAGTAGCTGTGCTGCCAGAAACACATAGAGTTATATTTTAACTCAAGAACACATTCAAGAGTTGTTAGAGGGTCTGCGGGACACGGATATACAAATTCAGGGAACTAGACCTCTTAAGGACTCCTTTACCTTTTTCCAACTGCAAATAAATAGTTACATATAGATAACATAATAAAGAATTATGCAAATACTATACAATTATATATAATAGGATTATTATTCATTTCATTTATTTTTCCTTTGGCTTAGTACCTTATTTATCAGCGGTCTCCACAGTGGAATGAACCGAAAACTATTCCAGCATATGTTTTACACCGCAGACGCCCTTCCAGCCACAACCCAGCACTGAGAAACACTGATGCACTTTTATATTCACACACACACACACACACACACACACACACTTATGCACTACAGCCATTTTTTTTTTACATAAATTCACCTATAGTGCATGTCTTAGGACTGTGGGGGAAACCTAAGCACCCAGAGGAAATCCTCACAAACACAGAGAGAACATGCAAACTCCACACAGAAATGCCAACTGGTCCAGCAGAGACTTGAGACAGTGACCTTTTTAGCTGTGAGACAACAGTGCTAACCACTGAGCCACCGTGCCACCTATTTTATTTTATATATAGCATTAATTATAAAAATATAGTTATATTTATACTGTTTTTTTTCCTTTGTTTTCAATTCGTTCGTAAATATTTGCCTTCAGGTTTAAAAATCAAGAACTGCATTTTGTAATATTGCTATGATTGACTTTAAAACATAAAATCAGATTTTTTTCACATTTTACATACACACACACACACACATATATATATATATATATATATATATATATATATATGGCTTTTTATAATTGAACATTGGTCCATTTGTTGTTTCCAACCTGAACCCATTTCTCTCGATTTAAACACAATAGAAGACATTTTAGCAGTTTTAGCTTGCATTGGCTGGATAAATACAAAAATAAACTGGAAATTGATTTCCAAAATATATTCATTGATTTTTTTAGGAAACAAGGCACTTTACATTTTTGTTCGCCCTGGGCATCAACCCCCCCTGTATATTCCTGGGTTTGTGTTAAAATGTAACTGACACAGACATCCTTGATTTGAAAAAAACATCTTTCCCCATATAAAAAGGCATACATGAATCTTGTAACTTTCAACATTATCATGTGCATCGCGTGTGCATGAAAAAACTCAATTTGTCTCATATTAGACTGTCAGAGCCCCATAATCTTCTAAGTCTCCATGGATGTCTTTTCCAGCTGTGGGTCCCTCTGCTCGCCCCTTAACCCCCCTTGAGAAAGAGCCTGAAACGCAGATCACTTTCCCAGGTGGGCGCTGGTCCTCTGGGCTTTGAAGTGGTGGGGAACGTGTTTGTGTTCTGGTCCTTCACACAGAAAAGATGGATGAAGTTAGCCGATTATATAGACATCTGAAAGAGGTCTTTACATCTGTGTGTCTTCCTGTCAAAACACATTCCCCAGGTTCTCCAACATTGCAGTGCAGAGGTGATGTTGATACAGTTTTTCAGAGCAAAATAACTCAAAACTATCTGTTCAGCTCTGTGTGGTCCAGCTATTACAAACATTTAATGCATTCTGATAACAATCTAGTTTGAGATTAATGTAAACACTAAACCATCGCCTTGTTTTGTGGATACACACACAGCAAGTTCAGCTAAGTTGTGAGAAGGCAAAGAGGCTGCAAGCAGGAAAACAGCGACTGTTCAGGTTTGCTGTCATTAGGTTGTGAAGGTTGGCAGTGGAGAGACGCCTTGCGGTCATAAAAATCTGGTCATTGTAAATCAAGAGATAAACATGTTTTAAAACTGTGAGAAAACACCTGTTTTTTATTGTTACAAAACCAGAAAAGCTGTTAAGCCAAACAATCCTTTCACACACTTTTTTACAAATGTTTTAGCATATTTTTGAAAGAAAAATGCAAAGCAGACTGCATTTAAAGTTTTTTCAAAAGTAAAATAAAAGCAGTGAGATTTAATATTGCCAATAACAAATACTTTAGGCTTCAGTGTCAAAATAAAATATTTTAATATGCTAATTTTGTTTTCAGTGAACTATTTCATTGTCAGTGTACACATATACAACAAGTACTAAGCAAGTTAAAATACACTTGTTTACATGGCCACACAGCCAGTATCTCTTAAAAAAACATTATGAGTTTAAAATTCAGCTTCTGTACATTTAATGACAGCAATCCAAGTAAGTGTAAATAATAAAAAAAGATTTTCTTTAATTGAGTTCTTCTTCATTTTTTTTGCGCTTTTACAATGTAGATTGTCAACGCAGCTTAAAATAGAAGTTCTAGTAAACTGAAACTTTGTCAGTACAGTTTTGAAGTTAACGTTCAGTTTACTTCAGTTCAGTGTGGTTTAATTTTCATTGCTGAAAATCCAAACACTGAAGAGCAAATCCATCAATACAAAGCAGATTTACAAAGGTTTTATCTCTTTTAAAATGGTAAATTTCAAAGTATTCTAACTGTCCTCTCTCTTATTTGTTCTACAGCAAGTTACGACACATTGTAGATGAGATGGTGACAACAGAGCGGGAATATGTGCGTTCCCTGCGGTATATCATTGACAACTATTTCCCTGAGATGGAGCGCGCTGTCCTGCCGCAGGATCTGCGGGGAAAGCGGAGCGTCATATTTGGAAATCTGGAGAAACTGGTGGACTTTCATAGTCAGTATTTCCTAAAAGAGCTGGAGAGCTGCTGTAATCATCCTCTACGCGTCAGCCACTGTTTCCTACGACATGTAAGAGACTTCCTTCATTCTCACAATAACTTCTTGTTCAGCTGTTTGACTTCAGTTTAGTCGGTTTAGTTTCATAATAATTCGGATGTCTTCTTAACCTTTTTACTATTTTCATATGTAGTAAGCATTAGTCCTGAATTAAACATCAGAGATTGAATCACATTTTTATTGGAAATGAAACAAAGAAGCTTAATTTGTCAATGTTTGTCTGTTCCCAGTTCTTGACTGACTCATTTTTGACCTAGCACAAGTCAAATGTAATCCAGAAATGTGCTCTCTCTGAAGTTCACTTTCTCTCCTTTTATCCTCTATGAAACTGAGAAATTAGCTGATTCAGGGCTCTTTAAATGAGTGAAAGGCCACCAGACTATTTTCCTAACAGTTGTGGTCAACTCATAGTGCTGGCTCACCTTAAGAGCTCTGCTTAATGAGGGCAAGGATTCACAGACAAGAGAGAGGTAGAAGACGAGCAGACCATTCGGTCTACAGCAGCGTGTGAACTTGGCTGAAATCACTTTTGACATGTTTTTGGCGTAGCAAAATCTGCACTAAAATTATGACACACTCTATGAACCTGAAAGTCATTATAAAACCATTTACCCGACCACAAAAAAGCCTTTCCAAACAAAACTCAACCTGGAAATGATTTGGGGAAAATCTTCCCTCCTTTAATTTCCGCTACAACAAGAATAGTGATTCTTCAAAACATGAAATCGGAAATGTGTAAGATAACATTTAAAATATTGCTTTTTTTTCCTTTTCCCCCATATAAACATACAGCAAGACCAGTTTAGCCTCTATGCATTATACAGCAAGAACAAGCCAAAATCAGACACACTCCTGGCCAGCCATGGAAACAACTTCTTCAAGGTGAGTAACTAGATCCAGACCCTACTGTAGACCGCATATCAGAAGCTTTTAGTTCTTTTAGAAGCAAACTTCACATCACTTAAACTTTAAGCTATATTTAAGATATGGTGGAATTTTTATTGAAAGCATGCTAAAAAAAGTTTTTGGATGGAACGCTCGAAACTTCAAATTCTAGATCAGGGGTGCTCAATCCTGTTCCTGGAGATCTACCTTCCTGCAGATTTCAGTTGCTACCCATATCAAACACACCTGAACCAATTAATTAGGACCTGAACACCACTTGATAATTACAGGCAGGTGTGTTTGATATGGGTAGCAACTAAAATCTGCCGGAAGGTAGATCTCCAGGAACAGGATTGAGCACCCCTGATCTAGATAGTATTGGTCAATGGCACTTTTGCAACAGGTGTATGAGTATATTCGAAAATAGTATGCAATTCTTCAGCTATTTTAAACTGTTCTTACCCCTGAGTGAGAAAAAAAATAAACTAAGAAAGAAAAAGAATATATTGAGGCCTTTAATCCTGGTTTAAAGTTTAGACTCGTGTGCAAATTGCAAGATCATCAGCAACTCTCTTATTCCAGCATAAGCAGATGGAGCTGGGAGATAAGATGGACCTGGCATCGTACCTGCTGAAGCCCATCCAGCGCATGAGTAAATACGCTCTTCTGCTGAAAGACCTGATCAAAGAAGTGAGCGAGGTCCAGGAGCAGGAACTTACATACCTGCGAGCCGCAGCAGAGATGGTCAAGTTTCAGCTCCGCCATGGCAATGATCTACTCGCCATGGACGCTATCAGAGATTGTGATGTAAGTTTGTCTCCAGCTACAGCAACTCTCCTCCTGACTTAAAAAAAATCTTCTACTCTGCTCATGTTGTCTTTTTCAAACACTTTTAGGTGAACCTAAAAGAGCAAGGACAGTTGGTTCGTCAAGATGAGTTCACGATTTCATATGGCAGAAAGAAGTGCCAGAGACACGTGTTCCTATTTGAGGACCTAGTGCTCTTCAGCAAACCCAAGCGCATCGAGGGTGGACTAGATGTTTACATATACAAGCATTCTTTTAAGGTGAGCACCTAAAGGACATGTGTTCACAGAAACAACAAGTGCGCTTGGTTGCATGCATGTTGAGTTGCATTATATTTATTTTTAAGAATTTAGCTTTAAGCTTTATTTTGGTCGCCTGCAAACCATAACAATGAGATGCCTTGTGCTTTTAAGATTAGTGTTTTGCTTTAAAATAGTTTGTTTACGTTTAATGTTTATAATAGTTATTTTCAGTTAATGTCAGTATATTTACAGTGGCGTATTTATTGTTTTTTTCTGTTATAAATACTTGAGAAGGATTTGAGGGGAGTATTTAAATTTATTTAGGGCTACCTATAGCATATTTTACATAATTTCAGTTTGAAACGTCACATAAAATGCCATGAGTATAGCACACCAACGTATGATTTTTTTCTCCTCAACACTATTTTGACATCCTGCAACTTGACATGGTGCAACTTATACAGTAGTCATATGTCCTCACAGTTTGGTGTATATGCGAATATAATAGCTCTGATTGTCTGTTTAGACGGCTGATGTGGGTATGACAGAGACGTCAGGTGAGAACAGTCTGAGGTTTGAAATTTGGTTTCGGAGGAGAACTTCAAAGAACCAGACCTACATTCTCCAGTCCAGCACTGCTGACATCAAACATGCCTGGACTTGCGACATCGCACGAATACTGTGGCAGCAGGCCACGCGAAACAAAGGTGAGAAAGAAAGAAAAGAAGCGCTTGAGCTTAAAGAAATTCATTGAATTTGCTTTGTTTAGCTGGAAGGAACAAATCAGAATGAAAGCATAATTGCAGATAATATGTCCTGTCACATAACATCTGAGCATATATGAAGACTTGTGTTTTTCAGCAGTTCGTCTGTGAAGACCTCAGGCAGATTTGAGTTTTAGAAGTATTGAGTTTCTGCAGTTTGATATTTTGAGTGTGAGAAAAAAAAAGGCAAATCTGAGGCAGCTCTCAACCTGTATTTAGACATAATTAATCTTTTCATCTTGTAATTCTTGTTTCACATCTTAATTATAATCTTTCTGTGTTTATTCTGAAGTTTGGATTGTAATGATTTTTACCACATGATTATCATGTCAAAAATAATTTATGATAATGAGCGTCTCAACATTTTCTATGATCATTTTGAAATCAGTATTACTATTAGTCAGAGCCTTTTTTTTGGACTATGAATCACACTCATATTAAAAATGTGCAGAGTTTGAGAAGAGGAACTTTGATCAAATAAAATTAAACTGTTTAAACAGACAGGAGTGTTCAGCTTTCCATCTTTTTACAGAAGGCAAAAAAACCTTCACACTACTGAGCAAACTTTTTTTCGCATGCAGGTAGTGTCTTGCCTTCATCTGTCATCTCCGACAATATGATTTTGTGCAGTAGTCACTACAAACCGGATTGTTTTCTTTGCTTGTTTTGTGACAGACGGAAATCACCCTTAAGGTGAAATCCCGCCACTTGCTATAATGGGATTCTTTGTCGCCTGTTTATATACAACTATATATATTTTGCTACATATCTTTCTGCAGAAATTCGAATGCAGGAGATGGTCTCAATGGGTGTGGGCAATAAACCCTTCCTGGACATTAAACCCAGTGATGCTGCAATCAACGACAGAGCCATCGACTACATTATGAAGGGCAGAGGTAAGTCTGTTTAACATGACAACCATATCATATTGATTTAACTTCATGTCCATTCATAACCAGAATACTATTTTTACTTTAAAATAATCAGAAAAATAAGCTTTATGGTCCCACTTTATATTAAGTGTCCTTAACTACTATGTATGTATATCAAAAAAATAAATACAATGTACTTACTGTGTTCATAATGTATTTGAGAACCCTTGTGGTGCTTTTGAGTTAGGATAGAGGTTGGGTTATGGACAGGTTTGGTGGCATGGGTAGGTTTAGGGGGGGTTAAGGTGTAAGGGATGGTCAACAGTGTATTTACAAATGTAATTACAAAAGTTAATTACAGGTGTATTTACATACATGTATTTAATCAAGCATAAGTACACAGTAAATACATGTATTTACACAACAAATACATTGTAACAAATTATTAGTTCCTATGTAAGTACATATTAGTTAAGGCCACTTAATATAAAGTGGGACCAGCTTTATTAAAGGAGCACATTATTGAATTACTATCAAAATCAGAAAGATTAAGTTTTTTAGTTACTATAACTTTATTAGATAATAATTACTTTACCTGATTAGCTACTAACTAATAGCCTTTAACAGATAAATTAATTATATATATACATATAGTTAACCTGCGGTTATATAATATATTGGTGATGTCATTGTGTACATGTTCAATAAAGTGTATTTGTGTGTTAAGTGTACAGTATGTGTGCTCTTTCTTCTGTTACAGGAGCTAGAACGAGAGCCTCCATTGCTGTTTCTCTGTTTGACCACTCAAACCCATTCAAAAGAGCTGCAGTAAACACCCCCGTCAGCGGGACCCCGGTGTCTGGCGGTCCTTCCTCATCCACCCTGCTGGGGCCCTTGAATCTGCACATGTACAGCAGCCAAAGTCTGTTGGCGGGGGAGAGACCTCTGATTGGCCCCTGCATCGAGGAGGACGAGCTGGAGCATGAGACCAGTAGTCAGCCCTCTATGAGTAAGTGTCCTAACATGTGGATTGGAACATGCATGTTCTCAGATGTGACACTGAAATTTGATTTGTGTTTGTAGCTACAGAGAGTTCGGGTTCGTCGTCTCACTGTCTGTCTGGCAGTGGCTCTAGCGGATCAGACAGCGGCTGTGTGTCCAGTCACCTTCCTGAGGCTTTGTCTGAGGAGCCCAGCTCACCTTGTGACTCCTCGTGTTATTCCTCCATCACCTCTCCCACGCAGGAGAAGCCCTGCTTTAACAGCCAGTATATCTCAGCGGTTAGTATTGCTCGTGTTTACTTGGTTTTACATGTGTTCAGGGCTGCACAATATTAGAAAATGCTGACATTGTGATATTCTGTTTTCCTGCAATATACAGTGCTCAGCATAATAGAGTACACCACATTTTGAAAATTAAGATTTTGATCGATTTCTCAGTGAATATGGGAAATAATTTTTGGTGCAGGTAAACAAAACAGATTTATTAAACAGTTATATATTTATTAAAATAATATTTTAGTCACCAAACTTATTTAGAAATTGAAAGATAAAACAATTAAATTCAAGCAAAATATTAATATACATATATATAAGGCAGAGTGCCTTAGTGCCCCCACCAGTGCCGATATACAGCCATATTGCACTGCTACGAGTGTGATATTGCGTTTATACAACAGTTTGACGGCATAATTGTGTATATAAAAACAAGATCAAAAATGGAGAGTCTCAAAAACCCTTTTGTATGAGGAACTACTTTCTTCTGGATTCAAATCATAAGCTGACAGTTAAACAGTTGAGCGTGCATCTTTTAAACTTTAGATCTGTAGAGTCTGCTTTTTGCTGGCTGTATGTGGGCGGAGTAATACACAAAAGGTAAAGAGGCTGTAGGAGTTCTGATATTGCAGAACATCGCAACGCTATCAGCCAATCAGATTTGAGAACCAGACAGAACTGTTGTATAAATATATTTATATATCATTTTTTTTCCCTTTTTTTTCTTCTCTTGATTTTTCCCTCTTTTTTAAGTTTGTATTTAGTATTTTTCTATGACATAAATTTGGGTGTACTAGTTTTTGGACCGTTATTGTAAGTTATTTTGTTAGATTAGCTCCAGATTTGGCTTCAGTGCTGACTAATCTAATGTATATGCACAAATATAATATTGTATAGCATTGTATACTGCATTTATTAACGGTCACTTTGATGGGTCAAGTGTAACATGTGTTAAAATATATAGTGACTTAATAGAGCAATGACCTGTAAATGATCAAATACAGTTGGAAGCAAAATTATTAGCTCTCCTGTGAAATATTTGTGTTTTTTTACAAATATTTTTCGATGAATGTTTAACAGAGCAAGAACAGCTTTACAGTATTTACTATAATATTTTTATATTCTGGAGAAAGTTAAAAGTTATTTCTTTTCAGTAAGCTGAGATAAAGCAGCCCCATTAAGAATTGTTTTTTTCTGTCGGCTGCCGAACAAAGCACTGTTATCTAATGACTTGCCTAGTTAATCAAATTAGCCCAGTTAAGCATTTATTCTAGTATCTGGTAAAATAGTTATGTGCTAGCATTACACAAAGAAAAAAATAGTTAGTTCATTTATTCATTAATTTTCTTTCAGCTTAATCTCTATTTCTAACTCATAAGCTAACTCAGCCTGCTACATTTAACTACTGCTTTGAGCCATATCGCAATATCGATCATAGTTCAAAATGTGATGCAGCCCGAGCACATTTTCATGGCTACATCAAACGACTCATCAGTGCTACTGATGCAAAGACATGTCATAACACCTATGCTTTTGCTGGCACTAATGCACTCGCTCAGGAAGACACTGATCACCTTATGATCCAATCAGAGCCTCCCCTTTAACCCTTAATAACCCCATCGCTCATGTCCTTCTCATCACAGGGGGATGCTCAGGTGATCGGACCCTCTACTATAGTCTGAGCTGCTGCAGTAAGTTTGGCTTTCGCTCCATCACATGATCACAGCTCTGTGCATGTGCACTGATACACTCACTCAGCATATTGAAAATGTTGTATATAAATATATGCTTCATCCTTGAGCTTTAGCAAACATACCTGTTCGTAATGTGTGTTATTCTCTCCCGCTTCGCCCTGCAGGTTTAAGAGCCATCTGCTTCAGATTGAGAAGACGTTGCCACACTGAAGAGGAGTTCAGAGCTAGTATTTATTATTTCTCCTGAGTGCCAGTAAATCTCACACAGAGCACTCCAGATAGCACTGTTTCTCTTTCTCTTTTTAAGCCACTTTTAGCTTCAATAGCTTTTATATAAATTTACGAATGATCTATAAAACTGAACCAATATTCTTGTATTTATCTTCAAGTGTTAAGATACAGTAGTGTTTTGAGCTGTATTATTAACTGTAAATACTGTAGTAGTGTACAGTAGACTTCTGAACTGTTGCGATTAATCAGTTCACACACTTGTTTTGTGTTGTTTATTGCCCACTTTGCTGCAGACTTCAGCTGGTTTGATTTAGAACAAATGCCCAATGTTTTTAGGCATGTCTAGATTTCTGAGCATCAGTACACTAAAGACGTTAAGCAGTGTTGTAGAGTTTCTGTTCTTTCTGATGTCTTCATAGTCTGTGGACCTGTGGTCAGTTCATTCAGTATGGTATTCATTCAGATTTTACAACTGACCTCAGGTCAGCTCTGCCCAGCACTGCTGCTCCTGGTTGCTGGGTATTGCTGCTGCCTGTTTGGAGATGGGAGAGCTTTTCATTTCAGTTCTGTTATTTACATTAATAAGTATAACAAAACAACATGTAAATTGTAAATAGTTGCACCAGTGGTGCGTTGAGGACATAGCCTTTAGGAAGTAATGTTTATACATGTTAACCAGTCAACACAAGAATCACTTAAGTGCCATTCTTTGTTGCCAAACCAAATTGGAAGTGTACAAACAAAAGATAATAAAAACAGTTCCACTTCTAGTTGGAGTTACGAGTGTCTACTCCAGTGTTTTATTTTTCAATCTTAACAAGTTCACTCAGAAGTAATAAAGACCGATTGCTTTGTACCTGTAACCGATGTGTGCTTCTGTTATTGTCTTTAATCTTTTATGATTGGCATGAATTGGAGATCTCACAAACCCTGTGGGCTAGCATTCAATTTCTGCACAACAACTGAGCTAACAAACAGACTCATTGTTCATAATGACGCTACTTGGCTTTAGGGATGAGCAGTATGTGGTTTACATGCGCATTGATATAAGTGGAAACACAAGCAGTGTGGGAAATGCTCAATTAAAATTACCAAACCGTTTTAGCCTGAGGACATCGGCATCAATGGGGTTTTCACAAAACCCTTTGAGAATGGTTTGCCAGCAAACAGTTTTTGTGTTTAATAGACGTCTAATAGACATCTGAACGTAGACAGCTTGGCTAAATCAAGGCTAAATTTGAGCTATAGGTGAAAATCTAATAGACATCTGAAGAATAGTCCAAGACTAGACTAGTCATCAAATAGACAGATTAGACAGACTTTATATGTGTAGTCATTCATTTCTGCTTATTTGATGACGAGTCTAGTTTTGGCCTATTCTTAGATGTTTATTAGATTAACACTGACAGCCTAAATTTAGCCTTGTTTTATCTATTAGACATTTAAAAACAAAAAATGCTTGCTGGATATGCTTTCTATTGTTACATTTGAGTTAAGGATTCTGCAGTAAATACTGAAACTACACTCAGTGGCTACGTTATTATGTACACCTTGCTAGTGCTGTATTGTAAGAACTTTTAGCTTTAAAAAAACAGCCTATTTTTCTTTATACTTCTTGAATTCACCAAATGACCCTAAACAATAACTAAACGAACTACAGAATGTTACACTTTCAAACACATGCACAAGTTGCATGTATTCCGTCAGTGCTGCACAAGCTTGGTTTGTAGCACCAACTGCTGGACACTTGTAGTTTTAGTCAGGGTTCACATAACCTAAGCCTTAACATATCACAGAGATTTTTGCCCCTTAGATAACACAGATTCCACTTTGTTTGTTAAGGCATCAGCTTGCTTTCTGTCAGCTTGTTATAGACTCAAATAAAGGTACAGGAGCTGTCACTGGGGCACTACCTTTTTTTGAAAGGTATGCATTTGTAACCAGAGTTCATATTTATACCTCAAAGGTGTATATAAGTGCTAAAATACTAAAATGTACCTTTGGATAGGGCTAGGCGATATATCGTGTTTTAGAGATATATCAATATTTCTTTCCAATGTGAGACATTTCTGTACAGTATATCACATATGACATCTTCAATCCAGGTTCAATCTGATTACACACCCCTATTTTAGTAACTCACTGGCAGACTGGCCAACCGACTTTGAAAAGCACCTATTGACCCATCCACAACACTTCCCTAAACCCAACCGCAGTGTTTTGAAAAGCAATCCAGGAAAAGAATAGCCCCTTAATTTTTACCATGTTCAGATTTTACCACATTTTCACCCTGTTATTTACTTGTTTATTAAGTTTTTTGGCTTTTGTTTTACCTGCTTTCCGGAACTGTTCTTTAACTGACTCAAACTCTGTTGTCGTGGTCGACTCCGCTTTCCATTACAAGTCAACCGACAGACACATCGAGCTACAAGACAAACTGGTAACAGCGGAAAAGCTATCCACATGCAGGTATACGGTCAGCTGGTATGTGCCAAAAGGAATGGCGTCATACTGCCCTGTAGCGTTTGTTTTAAAGATGAAACCTCTGGCTACATAATTCGCAATCTCCACAAATGTATATAGGGCTACGTTTTTTAAGAATGATCCTATGTTGGACATCTTATAATGAAACCCCTTGTTAACTCAGTTTCTCGTGGAGTATATAAACAAACAACAGCAACTTTGATTCGCAATTTGGCTAACTTTTGTATGTTTATATTCCATTTTACATGCATTTATACGTAAGTATAAGTAAATTAGTAATCATAGAGTAAATATAGTTCAGTTTATCTTGTTGCTCTATTTTTAACTGTAGGCTATTTCTGTTGTTGTTTTTTATCCTTAAATTGGTTGTATGCACAAAACGTATTTTGCCACTTGGTATTCAGAATGTGAGATTGCAAAGATTTATTATTTCATTTCAATCAACTGCACCTCCTTATTTTTGTATTTTGATTTTTTTTTGTGCTGAATCACTGTTGTTCATTTTCCTTTAATTTCTGTTAAGAATACAACAGCCTTTAAGTGTCATTTATAAGGGATTCACAATGCATAAATAATCCTCATTAAACACTGCATACATAATCCTCACTCAAACAGGAGGAATAAAGTATAGACAGTAACTTCAATGTATTGAAAAGGTTTGCTTACAATGTCATTTTTACATGCAAGCTAATTGGTTGTGATGTACTTGTCTGAGGTGCATTTCCCTGCTTCTCCACATGCTCCATGTCAATCTGCCAAAGGGAGAGATAGCAAGTCAATTAATCTCAATGCATTTCTTTGGAGACTAACTCCATTGGACAGTCTGTCCCAGCACAGAGAATAAAGTCTTTATTCTCAGATGATCACTCTTAATTAATACACTTACATATAAAGAAAAACTGTAATTAAACGCATTTACAAGGGCACTGGCCATTTTATTAGGGCACATGCTTTCACCATCAGTCTTTAATTCAATTACAGCCAAATATGATGATTATGATGAAGTGGGAAAAACTCGGTATGTAAAATGAAAACCGATTGAGTATTTAGGTTGTCATGCAATTACTCAATATACATCCAGATACGCAGTGGAGTAAAAGTAACTAATCACAAATACTCAAATTACTGTAATTGAGTATTTTTCCTAGGAATTGTAATTTTCTAAGTAGTTTTAAAAATGTGTACTTTTACTTTCCTTTGAGTACATTTTTAGTGCTGTATCAGTACTTTTACTCCACTACTTTCCTTCAGCCTGCAGTCACTACTTTTCCCCCTGTCTATCAGGATTAGAAAAATCAGTCCTGCAATTCCTGTCCAATCAAATCGCACATACTGTAGATAGTCAATGTCGAATGTCCAACCTAAAACCAACCAAATATCAACATCTAATGATAGCTTGATGTTGTTTGGACATTACCACTATGACGTCTATCAGATGTTGTATTTTGGTTAATAGATGTTGTATTTTGGAATAAATATCAGTATTTGACATCAGTTTGACACTGGTTTAAGATGTTGGCTCGACTTTGGATTTTGGTCACTTTCTAACAACCTAAAATCGACCAAATATCATCGTCATTATTGGACATCAAAATGATGTTGTCTTTAGGCTGGCTAGACATTGAATTTTGGTCACCTGAGATCAAAACCTAAATCAAACCTAATATTAATGCTTGGTAATAACTAGATGCACTACAGAATGTTACGTTTACACACACGCAACAATTACATGTAAACGCATCAGCTTTTTACAGCTCACTACTCACTACTCTTGAATACTTTTGAAACGGCTACTTTTTACTCATACTTTGAGTAATATTTACAACCGATACTTATACTCCACTTACACATTTTTTTTAGGTAAGTAATGGCACTTTTATTTAATTATGATTTTTCAGTACTCTTTCCACCACTGCAGAAAAGTTTCAGATTAGTTTCTGCTAGCTCAGAGTTTATAACGCACAGTGAAAGTGGTCTGAGGATTTTAAGACCGTTCATCACAAAGTTACTTTTGCTCCACGTAACCTAACCTGATCCAGGCAAGTTTATGTTCTGGTTCTCTAACCAAAATTTGACCATTTGCCTGATTACATAATGGCACACCTCTGTTTTTCTAAGTTTTTTCTTGCTTCAAATTATGTGACCACTGCATAGTAAAAATAAAACATTAAAAATGACTACTTATGAGTGTTTATTTTACAGAAGAGTCTCTGTGTATGCACACTGTATATATCTATTTACCTATAAACAAAAAACAGGTTCTCTGGATCTCAGATGAAGGATAATGGACCTGTTCCACTAATTTCCCAACAGGCGCCAGGTGTAACAGACAGTTATACAGTAGGTGCTCTTGAAGAAAACAAAACTGACAAACCTTTTAGTCTAAGTGATTTATGCAAGCGGTAATATAAGAGCTTCTGTCATGTTGACACTGTGCTGAGTGTTTGTCCTGGACTCTCTAGACTTTTAGACTTTTGCATTAGTTCCCTTCACTTTGCCAAAGTCTGTGTCTTTGTATTGTAAATGGTCCATGACGCTGTATTGGATGTGCCAGTAAATGCAGGTTTGCTGATGTCCACCATCATCTCTTTCATCCATCAGTCCTGCAGCTTTTGTTCAGTCTGACAGTCTTGTCCTCCTTTGCTTCCACCAGTAAAGTCGTCCTCCCCGATGGACCTGTAAAGACTCCTGATCTTCCACAATGCATTCATCATGAGGGCCGTTTCTGCACTCCAGCAGTCTCTAATGCACTGACAGACTGCTGCATTTCAGGCTCATTGACATTACATTTTCACCAAAACAATAATAGAGCCACTGAAGTTTGCTAATTTTAATCTTCTGTTAAATCATTGAACTTATTTAAGTTATCAAACAGAAACAAATCGTGCACAATAAACAGACCACAATAAAACAGCAAAATAAACCGATTGTAGAAGAGTTTCCTCTCACCCTTAACTGACTCAAACATACTATATAAGTCAGAAATAAAACATGGCATTTATCATCATCATCGTCAGTAGCCTACTCGCTTTCTATTTAAGCAACAAAAGTCTTTAATAAAGATAGTTATCTATAAGCTGTTAAGTCTTTTTCTCAATTTACTTACAACATTTAGAAAGAAAACGAAAGAAGGGAAACAAACAAACAAATTATGAAGGTAAAGTCTTATCCCAGCAGGTATCGGATGTCAACATCACACTGATGTTAGACATCTATTTTACTGTAGTGAATAATTGGGTTCATGTCTCCAACATTGGTCAGACATTGAATTTTTGATTGCAAAATAAAATCAGATTGATGTCAGAACCCAAACGCTCTTTGCAGCTCTCACATTGTTGTCCTTATTGAAGATAAGCAGGGCTGCAGATGGTTAGTACCT